TATATACTATATATATATATATATATGTATATGTTGGGATAGCTTTAATTTATTTTTTTTTGGTAAATATAGTTTTGACCACATAAATATTTAAATATTTAAATTCTCTTTATATATATCCTTAATAAAAAAATTCTTTATTTTTTAACTAAGTTTTCATTAAATGATAAAAATATCAGTAAATAACATTTAAAAAATAAAGTAATTATCAAAAGTATTTTTAAGGATTTTACTTTCAACCTCTCATATTTTTGTTATTATTCCTAGTTTTATATTGAATTTCATCTTTTTTTCCAAAAATATCAATAATTTAAAATAAATTTGTATTATAATATAACTTTTTCACTATAAATCTAAAATATAATTTATATGTTCAGAAATATTTATTTATTACAAAATTTACTTATAATATAATTTATATATTTAATTTTTAATAAATTATAACTATATAAAAAAATATTTATCATGTGAAATTTGTGCATTGCACTAGTTTTCATACACTTTGGAGGGGGTGAGTAGGATTTTGACATTTCAGTTAATTAATTATGGTAGAGAGTAATTTTAAATGATTTAAATTGACGCAAAATATTTTATATAATATAATATTATAGTTATAATAGTATTATTTATTTTGAAATATACATTATAAAAACACCTTAATTCAAAATTTATAATTATATTATTGTATAATTTATTTTTACATAATAATATCAATATGTTGTGTTAAAATGATGAGTTAACTCAATTTTGTCTCATATTTTATAAGTAATAAAATGAGTTAATCTGTCTTCAATCTACATAAAATAAGTGAGTTAAAAATTTGAAATTGTCTTGATTATTGATACGTTAACAGGTAAACTTACTTTACAATTAAAAAATGATTATTTTATTTTATTTATATGTAATATTTATTTAAAAATAATTTTATTAACTTAATTTTAAATAATAATTTATTTAGACATGATAAATAAGAGAATCATAAAAAAATAACATAATTATTTACACTTATTTAATATGTAATTAGTTAATATGTACTCTAATACTAAACATGATTTCAAAAAATTAATATTGTTATCACTATTTTATTAAATATTTTATATTATATAATAAAGCTAATTTTTAATTAATTAATAAAGCAAAACTTTATCACGAAAGGGAATATGTTTTACAAAAAAAATTTAAAAAAAAGGGGGGAAATCTGGTAGGTTGTCTCATTTTAACATGCATTTAACATTTTTTTGACATGTAAAGTAAATTGTGCTTATTAAATGAGACATAAAGACAGATAACATTTATGCATAAAAGTAAGACTCATGTCTTTTGAGTAAATAATTAACTTGAATTTAACTTTTTATTTTTGTTGACATGAAAATGAATAAAATAATATAATAATTTAGAAGAGTTTGTGGAATATCATTTGTAATGCTTCATTAAAACATCATCTTTATCAATTGAAAGTATCTTATTGTCATTTATAATTGTACTCTCCCAATATCAACATCGAAATATGATACTCTTAGAAATTATATTAATATCTTTATTGAATAACTTTAACTAATGCACTTTGTTTCAATTCATTAAATAAAGTCGACTTATAGAGTTATGGTTGATTTCGTATGAGTGAGACCTAAATGACAGATCTAAACTATCAATATATCATTCATAAATGTCATTTAATGCTTAAGATAACAGCACAAAGAATCAAGGTGTGATGGGGTTATCATTCACAAAGACCATTTAATACTTTAGTTCATCAAGAATAAAGATCTTGGGATTTAAACTTGATATCTTTGGAATTGCAATAAACCTAAAAATTATAAAACATCATATAAGGGCATGAAAAAATATTATACAATAACAAATTACACTTTTAAATGTTCTAGATCTAAATAACCATTGAAGTCTCCTAAAAATTTTTTTATACCAAAATAATAAATAATTATAACATTAAATAATTATAATTTAAATAAAAATGAATATGGAGACGAAAACAAGATTTCAAATTAAGATTTTAAGAATTAAAAAAATATGGAATGTAAAATATAATACAAAATAAAAAATAATTATGTAAAAAGAAGAATAAAAGACATTAAAAATATAAAAAATAGCATTTAAAATATAATAAAAATGAAATGTAAAAATAGAATTTACAAGAGTATATTTGATAATAAAAAAAACCAAAATAAAAATACTTACGTATGAAGTGTAAATAGGAAAAGCCTAAAGTGGATTAGTGAGAAATGGATTGGGCCAACATACCCAATCCATTTTAATCACGCTAATACATTTCGAATCTTGATAGAATTTTACTTTAACATTAAATAAATAAAAAACCTATGCAAAATAGATAAATTGGTGGAAGCGACATTTTGTCACCCGAAACTCAACGGAGGCAGAGGCCGAAGCGCAGCAGGTGGCAGCCACTGACATGGAGGAGAGAATGGAAGAAGCAGAAGAACAAGAACAAGTGAAAGGGTGTTTGAGCAAGTTCATCGACGATGGCACAGTGGAGAGTCACAGATACTACTTATCTCGCAAAACCACTCTCGAAATGCTCAGAGACAGAGGCTACTCTGTCTCCCCTCAAGATATCGACCTTTCTCTCTCCGAATTCCGCAACATCTACGGCCCTTCCCCCGACACCGACCGTCTCCGCCTCTCCCTCCCTCACGCCTCCAACCCCTCCAAAAGGGTCACTTTCTTTCCCT